TCGCGGCCCAGGCTTCACGGGGCCAACTATCCGGTGGAGCTCGAACAACGTGCCTCCACCTCGATCTTTAGAGATCACGTGCGGTCAACGGCGGATTCGGAAACACTAGCAGTAGCAGCCCTCGACTATACGAAATACGTCCTTGGGAATCCTAGATCTATGGGCCTGGAGTTTCAGAATCGCAAGTTTCTGAATCGTCTTCTTTTTGAATACGTGTGGCTCCCTCTGGACCGGTTCCGCCGAGCGACTCCGGCGGTCGCCCCTTCTGTGCTCCCTCTTTTTCTTCCGGGCCTTTGCCCGTTCTTCTTTTCCTTCTGCCCTGGGCGTTTCGGGTGTGGGCCTGAGCGGAGCGACCGAGGCGAGGTCCGTGGCCCTGCTCTCGCGTCCTGCGCTGGAGCCTCTGTCACCCCGGTCCCTCCAACCTCTGACCTGCGACAGGGCAAATTTCAACTATGCCTACATACAGGGCCACATCGGCCCGGACAATCGATTAGGCTTGCCTCGGCCTTTTTATATTGCTGCTTGCTGTTCCATGGCTATACGCGCCTCTGCTCTCATCTTTTTGCTGCCCTTTTTTCTGCCCGCGCACGAGCTGACTTGTTCCTGGGCAGCAGTGTGGCTGGGCACGAGCGAGGGAAAATGCCTTGATCAAGCACACATGTAGCATCGCGATTGGCACTGTTCGGAGAATGGCCCCTGTGATGCCATGCCTGGTCAGGAGAAGGCAAACTAACGCGTGTGTGTTGTCACGCGTGTCGCTGGTTGAGTGGTGGCATCCCTGCAGGTAAGAATGTCCTACATGAGTGTCCTATATACAAGAGTGCCCCATAGTGTCCCACAAGAGTGTCGTCACAAGTGTCGTGCAAATGTCAGGTGTCGTTCAAGAGTGTCCCACAAGATTGAATGCCCCACAGGTATATGGCCGTGGGTCAAAACATGTGGCAGCCACATCTTCAGATCATCACATCTACTTTTCTTGGCATTAGCACCAATGTGATCGTCGCCGTGATTGTCACCACCACCACCATCATCAATTCATTACCTTCTGTCATCCCCTACTTCGGGCCACATCGTTTCGTTTCCCCGTTCAGACCTGAGTCACTCACATCCTGTCATTCAGCTTGGAAAGCAGAGACTCTACTTATTTTTCTGTCCCCGAAGGGTGTCTCAGTGCAAGTTTCAGAAGTTCTCAGCGCCGAAAAGGCCAGAAAGTGAGGTGATGGCTGAAACAAGCAAGTCGTTCAGGCTGAGACGCCTCCTCCTTGCGAAGCGATTTCTGTCAGCTGTCCTCTTGAAAAGTGCTTTTGAGGTGGCACTGTAGTTTGAGGCAGCCAGTGGTGCTTTTGGGGATTGGAGGCTTATAGATGGAACATGTTAATGATGTGTTAGCCTATGCAGCTGCCTCACGCTTGTATTTCCGAAGCCTGAGCCGGTAGCAATGGTTGACTTGCAATGAATACCTCTTCAGCAGATCAAGCTGGACAGGGGGCTGGCTTTGCCAAGCTTTCGTTCACTTGCCTTTGCACTCTGCAGTTGTCCCTAGGCAGGAAAGTTTGCGACCACACCAAGCGGGAGAGAGGCTTACTCCGTCAAGGACGTGCTCGGCGTTCCGAGGGTGCCCAAATTGATCGCTCAAGATTTGGTAGCAAAGGGCATGGCATGTTCTGGTTCTTCACTGCTTTTGTACCCACCATCCAGCAAGTCTAGCTCTCCAACGTCAAACCCCCCCCAACCCACGACACACACACACACACACACCTCTCCGCACCCACCTCCGCTCCCAGTCTTTCGCCTCAAACCACCTCCGCAGTCTTCGGCCGCGTGGCTTCAATTGCCAATAGCCCAGCTCCGGCTTGTGCACCGGAACCCACTGCAGGTCGCTCGCCAGGCGCTTGGGGTCATGACCTGGAACCGGAGCCGGACCGGACCGGTCCCGGTCTTCCAAAAGGAGGAAAGAAGACGAGTCCGAATGAAGAGCAACCAAAACGGGTGAAGAAAACCCATGCAAAACCTCGTGTTTTGCAGGTTTTGGAGAAGATCACTGAATTGAATCGGGGAAAAGAAAAGCCAGTGCCAACCTAAATGGATATTTCAAATGTAATTGGATAT